AAATTGATTAAAATTGATTATTGTTGGCAAATAGTTTTCTTACAGTTTTATTTTAGTACATTTTTCTGAGTATTTAACAAATTTATACTAAGCTGTGCTGAGTAGTTTATGACTTATTTATATTAGCTTGTGCATTAAATTACAAAACTTCAGTCTATATCCAATTAAAAGGGATCAAAAGCTATAATTTTAAATCATATTGAATTAAGAGAAGTGCTTTAACTTAATTAGCATTTCTAATCTTGTAAAATGTAGATTTGCTATAATCATTAGTTATAGCTCATAAATTTCGCTTTAGTTCTAGACGAAAAGTACTTAACATCGTTTTAAAGACTCGTAATCTCAGCTATCTTATTAACCTTCTGCGTAATCTATTCTGTTTTCGAATAGTAATAGTTGATTTGAATGCAAGTAAGTGATGTTATGGACACTGGAATTACTGATAATTCCGGACATTAAGCTTTGAGCTAAAATTTATTTGAATGAATCTTTATGACTAAACGATGTAGATCTGTTGAACTTCTCAGCTCTTAATTACTAAATTCATGGAGTTTTCATTTTATAAAAGTTATTGAGACTTAGAAACTTTTGCAATGTATGAAAATAAAAATGTATTCTTAAAATTACAAATTATGCATTTCAAGCACTTTTAGATTTTTTATTGATAATTTAATTACTTTTGCTTCTTACAGTGGAACAAATATAATACCGCTCAGATGAATGAACATTGTATTTACTCATATAAATCTTTCAAAAATATTTACTAATAATTTTCAAAAAATAAAGTAATTTTAGGTAAATCCATTTTTGCACAAATTATTGTTCAAGCAGTTTCATTTTTAATAACTTCAAATTTATTGTAGAAAATCTATTTTGAAATTTGAAAATTATTGAGAATTAGGCGTAGATTATTGTACTGTACGTAGGCGAAAAAAAGCTATAAATAAAGATAAATGTAAAGAGCGTTCGGTACAAAACAAAACTCCTGAAAGTAAATCAAAAAAGTGCTTATTTTTGCAGTGCTTTCAGGCAAATCTTATTACTTTCCATTGTATAGTACTCATTACAATTTCCATTTCAAACAAGTTTGAGTTCTTCTTAATGGCGAGAAAATCCAATAAAATTCCTCGAAAATTGATCGAATCTAGTGCAATCGATAGGCCAAACCACAATTGTTAATAGTTCAAGCTTATTAAAATGAGTACATTTAAATGTTAAAAAAAATAAGATTATTATTTTGTGATCAATTTTTTTAAGAAACAAAAAATTTATTTGCTTAACTGCTAGAGCTTTTCTTATAATATATCAAGAAGAGAAATAAGTTTTAATATGTTTGCGGATAATTATTATGACGGCAATAATATTTATTTCAAGAGTAGTAAAGTTAAAAACAGCAAATATATAAAAATTGTCAAAAGTTAAAAACTTTTTCTATTCACTTTTTGGGATGAAAAGTTTTCTGTCTATCGCTCAAATTTTGCAAAATAATTCTAAACTTCAAAGTTTTTTTGAGATTTGAAAAACCAACGTACTTATTGTTAAAGTATTAAAAAAAGTGACCGGTAAAAAGCTGGAAAAAAGATTACGTGATATTGCTTCGAAGTATTAGAAGCTTTAGTAGTAGTAATCAGAAAAGAAATGATTAAGCAAAATTGTTTGTGAATAAATAAATACATAAGTAAACGTCTGAAATTCGTAATCCATTATTTCTTAATATTGTATGAATTTTGCGGCGTTTTTTATAATTAAGTTTAAAAAATGCATTTTCGCATTTCATTTCTTGGATTACTACCAATCGTAATACACAACCACAAGAAATTATAGATTCTGTTTCATAGAACAGCTAATAAAAATCATATGCGAACTGTTTATTTTGAGTTTGCCATCAAATGGAGAGAAATGTATGTTTGTTGAATAATTAAAAATAATCTTTTACATAAAGTTTTAAATAAATTTATCGCCTTAAATTATTGAAGAAGTGTAGTTCTAAGATTGAAAAAAGGATTGTCAAATTGATACAATTCAAAAACCACACTGCAATGTATGAGCTTAATCAGAAAAAGCTGAAGAATGTTGCTTTTTGGCCATTTTCTTTCTTTCCATCAAAAATTTTGTCTAATCTCAATTGTAACACAAATATCTGAAAGTTTTCCAAGTAAAAATTTGCTAGATATAACTATCAAAGTAAAAATAAGAATTGCAAATCACCCAATTTTTGGCATAAAATTCAAATTGCAAAAGTAATTAATACGTATACATTAGTATGCCTGATACATACATATTATATATTGTGTAAATATGGTAAATAGAAAGCTATTAATGCTGTGCTAGAATGTTTATAGTTTTTAGTTTTAATTAATTTTAAATTTTAAGGTTTTTAGTTTTAATTAATTTTAAATTTTAAGGTTTTTAGTTAAAATTAATTTTAAATTTTAATCTATTTGTTAGTTTTCAGAATCCAAAAACAAAATAAAAGTAGTAGAGATAAGTATGAACAATTTAACTATTTTGAATATTATGAATTGCAGCATAATGTGAAAAAAATGAATGCGATAAAATACTCGAGAGTAAATTCGAAATAAAACTCTGTACACAAATAAACGTCTTGAAATACTTATTGAAAACTTTGCGAGATTTTACTATGAAAATACTTTTGTTTTTTGTACTAATATAGAAGGATCATTTCATTTAATCAGTAAATTTACCTTTTTATAAATTTGCTTCAGTAAACTTGCTTGTTTTTTTCTGTTGCTAATAAGCTATTACTTATTGAAAAGAACTTAAGTTTTAGCTTAAATAAAGTAACAATTAAAATATAAACTGTAAAAGTTATTAAATTGCACTAATAATCAATTGCATTTAGTGAAAACAATCAGTTTTATCTAATTTGAATAAAATCAAAATTTTGTAAATATTGAAAAATTATTGACAACGCCAAGACTAAATAGAATTTCAAATTTTTTAACCATATGATAGTTTTTCTATAAACTTTTTTTAATACTTTTGGTTTTTGGTAGTAAACCAGAAAGTAGTACTAAAGTGAGATACTTGATGAACATCTGATTCAAGAATCCAGGTCACATTTAAAACAAAAATATTATATGATGCGTTACTACTGATAAGTGCGAACTGATATCAAGCAAATTTACAAAAAAACCTTCGTAATAAATAAAAAATAATTTTGAGTTACTGTTTGTGAAGAATTGATTATCAATTGTAGAAATGAAAAGAGTGCCTTATTTTTTAATGCTATCATTTGATATTATCATTTCTTATTTGATACTATCTCACTATTTACGAGAATTCATCTTCACAGAATGAAGAAGTATGTTTTATTTCCGCTTTTGGTTTCATCACTTTGTTTCTGAACTTAACAAATTGTTTAATACAAAAACTATTTGAATTTTGATATTTGCTGAAATTAGTTTGTTATATGATAGCTTGTTTAATGTTTAATTTTTAAGCCAGTCATTAGTCAAAAATTTTTATTTTATTATTCAACAATACAATTTACTTATTTCAGTACAATGTTAGAATGTCATTTGAAAATTTTTTATTACTAAAATAGTTTGTAATTTTATAATGAAACTGAAAACACGGAAGTTATAATTATATTATTATGGCAAAACTGTTTTTTGGTTGTAGATGTAAATTTTGTAATTTCAAATTACGGAATACTTTTTAAAATTAATGCTCTTTGTTTTTCAAAATTTTGATAATCTGTATAAATAGAACCTTTATTATTACAATAATTTTCTACTAAATTATTTTCTTAACGCAAAAACTTAAAGTAGCATTTTGTCTGTCTCGAAAGTATCCATAAAGCTTAAGTTAAGTGTACTGGATTTTGTTACGTTTAAATCTAATATAAATGGCAGCAAAATCTTTCACAAACATTATATTCCACAATTAAAAGTTGCAAAATAACACAAGCTACTTATTATTTACACATACATTTTGTGTATTTTTGATATATAGCTTTCTAAAATATTATGACTTCAAAATATTGTCAATCGTCGGCAAAACGTACAAGGAATGTTGCAGTTGTGAATGGCGTTTACGTAAGAAGTCGCCTGAACGTTTTTTTCTTCCGTTACATGTGCAACAGCAACTACTACACCTAAAATATTTTTTATTACATATACGTTTATTCCATGAACGAATCGTATGTTTATTATTTAAATTATTGCATCATAATTATTTTTTATTAAAATTTTGAAACTTTCAAAAATAAAAGCTCTCTATTTTAAACTATTTTCAAAAACTCATTAATTAGAAATATTTTTAACAATGCTTGCAAAGTTATCCATCCACAAAGCCATTTCATTTAATATTTGTGAATTATTTTGACACTAAAATTAATTATTCTATAAGTTTTTTAAAAATATATGATTAAAGGTTATGTAAGAATACTTATGCATTTCTGATTGCTTAATTTTATTATCCACATTTTTTGCTGGAAGTATAATATGCAAACAAACATGCAGCACGGGTCTTCTTCTGCTGGAGGTGGAGTTGAGGGTGGAGGTGGTTCACAGTAATAATAGTAAACACAACAGTCACGCTTTACCCTTCGATTTTTGAGCATAAGTCTTTGATAGTTGGACATTTGTAGCGGATTTATTTGTATTGAAGCTAACGAAGTAATTACTTCTTCGGGTAATAATAGAAGGATCAAAAAAAGACATGAAGCGGTCATCTTTAATTGAATCATTCTGCAAGAAATCTGCTCTTGTTTTTACAAATCAAATTTTCAAAAATTACTTTCAATTTAAATAAATTCTGAGTTATTCAAAAGTGATGAGAATTATTATGTATTAGTTTCATTGAAATTTATGCAAAAGCGTGATTATAAATCTGCCAACAAATATTCAAGAAGCGGATTTTATATTTACTTTTGCTTTTGTATCCTAAAATTATTGATAATGGCAGTGTAAACGACGATAAATTAATAATTTGATCGAAATAATTTATTTTGACAAGCAATAAGTATTAGATTTTGCATTAAGTTTCTAAAGTAATCTAAATACGATTTCTGGTTTTAAATTATATGTGTGCATGTATAACTAAAAACGCAATTTTGGTAACAAATGTGAAATTTTTTGGATATTGTAAGCAAATAATGCTGGACCGAAAATAAAATCATATATTTTCATTATAAAAACACTTTAATCCAGATGGAATGAGGCAAGTCAGAATAAGAATATGTTTGAAATTGAATTACTTAAAGAGAATTGTGAGAAAATACAGTAAAAGTTCAAAGCAAAGTTAGTTTTTAAATTGTCAATAGAGATGGTAATATTTCTCAAGCCTATTTCAAATTTCAGATTATTGCATATGCTTAGATTTGACTGTAAAATCTGCATTTGCATAATCCCACAATTTACTTGGTGTTTAGCTAATTTGACGGAAATGTTAAAAATGATTATAGAAAGTTTATTATTTATATTATTATTATTATTATTGTTATATGAAATTTTTCCCGGATAAAACTAGTGGTAATCTTGAAAACAATTCAGTTCATCTTGAAAGTGAATATAATATAGCAAACTTAAATTTTGCTTCATCAAAATACTCCTGTCAAACATTTCAAACAGAGCATGAATATACTATAACTTAAAATCTTTTAATTTTTGCATACTTTTGACATTAATTTTGTCCGATTATGCACTAATATTTAATACTGAATCAGTGCACAAACAAAAAAATTTCAAGTCCAGATGATCAGTTCCAAACTTAATTGTAACTAATAATACACGAAATTACAGATTAATGTAAATCCTTGAAATCAATGCTTTAGTGCATAACACAAATTAAGAGTAAAATTTCAGAAATGAAAACCAAGTATAAATTAGAAACCCGGTAGTGAACCTGAACAGGTACCGAATAAGTACTACAATATCATTTACTGAAAAAATCTTACCTGCCACTGATATTTTATAGTAACTGAGGCTAAGAAAAACTAAAAGTAAAACCAGATTTTGTTTAATTTTTAAAGTTTCTTCAAGTTTTGATCAATTACCCGCCCAAATTTTTCTTGAAATTGCATGCGAAAATAGAATGAACACAAATTTTACGATTGATAATCTTTTGCCTCACAATTCTGACAGTTATGCACAGATGCAAATAACGCTGTATTTTATGCACGTACTATTGCTGTAATTATTACGCACTCTCTGTACTTGTTTAATTTTTAGAAAAACATTCATGAAGTTTATTTCTCACGAGACAGCTCGTCTTTTATTTTCCGTTATTATCCTTCTTTTTTTTTTCTTTGAATCCTCTTTGCATATCATTTGAAGGTTACAATGAATGTGAATATTTTTGAATATTCTAACAATTTTAATAAGATTTTTTACTATTCTTGCAGCTTTGCAATAATTTGACTCTATGACGAATGTTGCACTCTTTTTGTTCAAATTTTACAGAGGTTTTCTTGCCAACGAGGAATTAATTTTATGGATTATCATTAACACAAAAAGGTTTATTTAAGAAATATTGATGCATCATGACGAATTAATTGAGAAAAATTAAAGTAACCGACCTAAACAATAACGTTATGAATAAACTTGAGTCCACGTCAATCTGACCTGACTCAACAAATCAAGACATTAGGATCTATCCAAAGTCTTGTTATGTGGCTTTTCAAATTCCGGAAATAGTTATAATGAAATCACAGGCTATCAACTAGTATTCAAAAAATCAGCTCAAAAAATAAATATTTACATAAAAAAGTGTAAAAAATGCATTAATTAGATCTACAAGAAATTGAAACAGAACTGTTGGATTTGAATGTTTTCAGTACAAAATATAAAAGTGGGAAGCAAGCTGCTTATTTTCAAATCATAAGTTGTTCGCTTACAATTTGACTTTAATTTTGTGAAAACTGTAATTTCGTATAAAAAATTTTATTCAAATCCTGCAAAAGAAGAAAAAAATGTTTAATTTTTTAAATTAACCATTGTTTGAATGTGAGTTTAATTTTATGCTGTGAATAGATTTTGTTGCAAAACATAACTTTTAAATAAAAATTAAAAAAAATAATAACAGAAATATAGAAATTCATTGTGAACAAATTGAATTTTGCTTGCAAAAGTTTAGAATACTTCAGACTACACAGACTTGCAGTAGTAGATGTAAGCAATCTGAATGGTATGCTACGTCTGCCACATTTTCTACAGCTCATATCTGCATCAAATAATATACGCTACGAACTACTACCATTCATATCACAGCAAGGAGTGTATTCAATAATGATAGCAGTAGTAATGCAAGAGTAAAGTGAGTGTACGTACAGATAGATATTACTTTCAAACGTACTTCACACCAATCATTTGTTCTAACCATGAGGATTCAACGATGTAGTGTAGCGAAGACTTGCTACGAACCATGAACTTCGCATTGCACTACATTAGTTACAATCAATATGACGAGGAAAACTGCCAGAATCCCTGCTTCTTCTTAAGAACCCATAAAATAACTATTAACTTTCGCCAAGCATTTAATTTTTCAATAGTTAGTCCCTCATTCTCGTGTGTTTTTGCCAAGCATATGGAGGGGAAGATAATATTGGCAGTTGCACAAACAATCTGACTAATAATTTCGTTTTACTTTTGTATATTACTCTAAAATATGTACAGTATAAGTAATTTAATTCAGTCATCGTAATTAGATAAACAGCGTTACTGCATCATCTCTATCTTACTTTAAGATTTAGCATAATTGCGATTAAGTTATTAAGTTCTTCGGTCTTAACGAATATTTGCTCCGTAGTTCATTATAAACAAGATATAAAAAAGCCACGAAGCGAAACTCATTACTTGATGATTTAATGCTGCAACATTATGACTTCTTAATTTACGTTACTAAGTGCGACTTTCTAAAGCAAGCGGCAAGGTTCTGGAAATCTCTAGAACGATTTCCCACATGCTCAGTCTTTCTAGAATTTTCATGAACAAAAATCTCTCTTTCTTTGCTCCCTCTCTCTCTGGTTCTTTCGCATCTCTGTTTATTCATGCAGTACTTTTGCTCTCTAACGTGTCTCACATGTCTGCCGCCTCCATGTTTTCCTCCTTGTCCTTGCATTCTTCAATTTCTCATGTGGTATCGTATGATCTTAGAGAGTGATTAGGTTGTGAGCTATTACATAGAATACGTGGCTTCGTAGAATCTGGCCTTCGTCAGACGCCTACGTAGGGAAATGAAGTGGACGCTGTCACGCAGCGAAAGAAAAAAGAAAATTGTGGAAGTTTCTAGAACAATCCTTTCCCTTTTTCTAGAAGCTTCCATAAGTAAGCATATATAAACAAGGCCGTTCCCTTCTCTCCAGTCTGTTTTTCGTGCAGCAGTTTGTTGGTGCTGTGGTTATTATGCTCGCTAGTTTTTCGTGTGTATATCTTCATTTCATTTCTGATACGCTTTGGGTTTTGTTTCTTTTGTATATCGTTTATAGTTTTAATTAGAAAATGTACTTACTAAGGATAGGTAGGCAGTAGATGTCAGTGTACTGTCTTAATAATACAAGTACTTACTAGTTAATATAGCTACTAGTAATTTATTCTATCTCAAGTATATTGAATTATCAAGTTTGCATATTATTGTCATGTAGCCTGTGTTCTAATCATGACTGGTCAACTCATGTTATTCTGATTGTTTAGCACTTCCATGGTTAGAGGGCAAGACTAATACATATTTACCGATAACTATTCATTACTTTTTATGCTAACTTGCACTCTACATTTCAAAAAGTAGTGTTTTAAAATGTTGGTGCTTTGATTGAACTTATTTATTCATAGTTTCATTATTATTCCTTTAAAGAGGTTAATAGAATAAATTTTGAGTAAAATTGGGGTCTTTATGAGTTTTTTGTCCTTGCATTCATGTAGAGAGTGAGAAACAGTAATTTGTCATGCGGCAAGGGGTGAAATGCAAATCATTAAGAGCAGCAAAGGGTTGACTGTTAGTACTTTGATTCAATAGTGCATGGTTGACAAGCGTAGATTGTGAACGGTTTTGAGTTTTATACGTTTATTTCATGTTTTGTTTCGTTTTAGTAAATTGCGAAGCCGCTGAAAAAGTTGAAAGCTAACGATGTCTCTTCTCCGATTCCATCCTCGTGATTACTTTTACTCATCACCGATGGAGCGTTTTCTCGTCAATGCTCTTGAAAATACATTCGATGATAGAGCGTATCGATCGCTTCATTCCGTTGCTCCATATTGGCTTAATCAATCGCTGATGAACGAATGCAACATTGGAAATGCTATTGGAGAGGTTATATTTACATTAGAAGTTTTTTTTTGAGATGGAGAATTATTTTGAGATTATGCTGTAGTAATTTCAGAAGACAATGAAAGATAGCACAGCTGTACGTCATGTTGTGCATGAAGATTTTACATTGAATTGGTTTTAGGTAAAGAATGAGAAGGACAAGTTCTCAGTTCAGATTGACGTATCACACTTTCATCCGAAGGAACTTTCGGTGTCAGTTCGTGGTCGTGAATTAGTAATTGAAGGTCATCACAATGAACGCAGCGATCAGCCCGGTGGTGGGGGAAGTATCGAGCGTCACTTCACACGAAAATATCTTTTGCCAGAGGAAGCACAGCCGGAAACGGTTGAGTCGCATCTCTCTGATGCAGGTATTCTTACAGTCTGTGCAAACAAAGCTGCTATTGGTGCACCAGCTGCTCGTTCTATTCCTATTCGGGCATCTCCGAAGGAACCGCAAGGGAGTGTAGAGCATGCAACAAATCAGTCGCAGTAATCAAATTCAAGTGATCGGCTTTTTGTGTACATTATTTCTTGACATCATATCTTTGAATCAGTTCTTATTTTTGTATAGATCCAAAAATTGATTTTTTCTCGAAACTGATTGTGACCAGCATTTCTTCGTCTCTAACATTTTTTCGTTTGTTCTCTGTTTAAATATAGTTCATATCAGTTCTTCTGCAGTATCCTTCTTTATTTATTATGCTTTGTAAAAAAATTTTGCGTGTTAATAAAAAGGAAATAATTATTGTAGCCAACATGTGAACATTGGTATTTTTACATTCTTCAAATGACTGTCTCTTGCAATTATCCACTTTACCTTGCTTTTTAAGCAGGAAAAGCTAGAGGAGTTGGTGGTTTCCGAGGTATATACATTGACTGGGAGATAGACTGAAGTGTTTGCCTATTAGTAGATAAGATTATGTTCAGTAAGAGGTGTTTACTGAAGTTTTTGAGGGAAATGCTATGTATACAGAATAGAGTAATGTGATCAGTTATTTGAGAGATGAGTGTGGGAATTTGCAGTTGGTACTGGTAAATGGAGCTAATTTGAATTGTACATATCATTTAAACTGTCACATAGGTATCATTATTAAATTCCTTGATAGTTACTAACGTGGTAGCAGAGTGCTTATAAGGAAAGTTTATATATTCAGCAATGTAATTAGTAAAAGAGATTTTTTAAATAAACTTGGCTTTGGAAACCATAAATGCTAAATAAAGACAAGACCTAGGCTATCTTTAGATTTCGTCGGGCATTCTCCTTTCATGAATAGAAAGTTCAAAGTTTTTATTATAGTTTTTATTCAGATCGCGCTATTTTTTATTAAAATATCGCCCAAATCTTCACAGTTTATATTTTTTGGTGCAATGTTTGTCTTTTTTTTTCTGCTGTTTATGTCATTTTACTTGTAAAGGTAATAAATGTCTCATTACTTATTAATAATACTCAATATCTTGCAGTTATGTATAGAAGAAGTTAATAAGTGACCTTTTAAATAAAGTGAAAATATTCACAGAAAGTATTCTGTATGCAAGGAGTTTGTTTCTAAACATGTTGAGATGGCGTGTTACAGAAAGTTTTGTCCATGAGAAGCGTTTGTATTCTACTGAAAAAGTCTATTTGTTCATGAAAATTCTGTGAATGATAATGCTGACATAAGAAGTAAGTTTGACTTTATTTTCGTGCAATTCTCACTTTTTCAGAAATGAAATATACCTTTTCAGTACTTATTAATTTAAATACTGCGTATAATAGATGGTCTGTCACGAAAAGTTCAAATCTTACGGAAATAGCAGCGCAATAAATTTTATAGTGTTTTTAAAACTTCTTGATGTACTTTGATCTAATTTTGTTTCTTTCAAGTTAGTGCTTTTAATTTCCTACTGTTCAAGTAATGATTTATTTCTGTAAAAGCTCACAAAATTTTTTTCATAATTTTGAATCTTGCTTTACTGAGAAAATTTCAGTTCGAAAGTTGAATTTTTTCAATCGAAAAACTTAAGTTTGCTCAATTGTTTGTTGTCCAAACAAGTTTTCATCTTAAAAATTTTCGCTTTTTGCATAGTTCAAGTAATAAATATTATCTGTATTATAAGTTCGTACATTTCTTTAGATAAATTACTATTTTTGTGTTGCAGTTCAAAATAATCAAGTTTACATTACTGTTGGGAATCGGTGGAATTCATTGACAAAAAGCAAACACTCGATATGATGAATTGTTGATAAGAACGGATTATTTGGCTGGATATGTTTCCATTCTAATAATCACTAACTAAATTTAGTGCTAACTGAAAATAAGATTGAAAAAAATTTTAATTTTGCTAGAGATTTAGTTGCTACTTCATTCGATGATTTACTACAAAATCAACGTGAGTATTTATTTCATTTCGAATGTGAATTAATTAAATCCACATATTGTTTCCATCACAAATTTGAATTTAATTTTGACCAACACTGAAATATAAGAGCTTGCTCGGACTATAAGTAAGCTTTTATACTTCTGGTGTTTATATATTATTACTTTAACTCATTACAACTAAAATTTTATATAATTAAAACATTATTATCATTCTAAGTACAGTATGAAGCAGCAATATTAATGCAAACAATATCATTGGTACCCTTTGCAGAAGGCTTTTCTTGATGATTTTTAATTTTTGAATTAAACTCTAAGATATTTTTCGGTAGTTTCATTGCTTCACCCACCGCCCGAGTTATAACGGATTTCAAATTGTGAAGTAGTAGCTAGTGCTGATTATTCTTAAAGCTAAACAATGATAAAAAGCAGTGTCACAACCTTTAAATACCTAAATGGGAAATGTATTCATTCATTCATGAAATTTGTTTGTAAATAGAACTGTTTTTCAGCCTAATAGATAATTAATTAAAAGCAGCTAGCAAATTTGCGATAAAATAGTAATATTATTGCATTTATTTTTTGTCTGCAAAAGTAATGCTTAGTTTATTTTTTAATATTGGTTAATTAACTAATGCTGAGATAGTACATAACAAAAGATTCCTCCTTTCAGTAAATGATTTATAAAAGTTTGAAGTATGACTGAAAAGTACTGCATATAATTATGAATGAAAAAAGTTAGAATGCGCAACTTTTTTGTAAGGTCTATACAAGTAAAACAAGAATTTCAGTAAGGCTGAAACGACAATCTATCAGAAATTATTGAGAATAGATTGCTAACAGAACATTTCACGAATATTTTTTTTGCAATGTAAAATTACAAAAAGTTATTAAAATTGTTAAGTAAACCAATAATTTAGCAAAATGTTTTACTATTTATCATTTTATTGCATCAATATTTAACGCAGATTTTAAATTATAAAATAAAAAAGATATCATATGATTAGAAATAGTGAAAAAATTAATTTTTTCGCTATTATACAATTTTCAAAAATTGAAAGCAATTTGTGTTTAACTTATTTGAGAAGAAAATTTTAAACAAAAGTTGATAATTGGCTTTATATTTCAGTACGAATAATTGGTGATATTATTAGTTAAATTTGATGCTAATTAGAAAATGAGAAAAAAATTAAAATTTTTGAGGCGATTTAAGTTTTACTTCTTTCAACCATTTTCTACAAAGTTCATAGTACTCAGATAGTTACCTTCCAACTTCTGACAAAGTAAGTAACTAATCTATCCTTTTAATTATCAACTGATTTTCAGATGCAGCGAAACAGTCATTTTGTTAAGACCTGCTGATATGCTAACGATAATCATTCTAAATAGACGCATCTTTGTCTGAAAGATGCAATATTAAATTGACTTATAAGACTAATAAAAAATATAATGAATCATTCTCGAAAGTATTCAGATTCAGTTGCAAAATTCGATTTCATTATACGAATTACCGTATCAATCTAAAATTAGCAAAGTTTCAGACTGAGCGGATAGGAAAAAAATTATGAAAAATATTCATATGAGTTCAATGAATGTTGGCAAAGATGAAATATTTGTTAGAAAGAAGTATGTACAAAAAGTGCAAACAAAGAATGTATTTTAAATTTTTTTGAGTTTTCACGTTCTGTAAAATAGTTAAAGTTGAGTCTTTGTCAAAAACTTTTCTTCTGTTAATTCATTAAATTCAAAAATATGCGTAGTTTTTGTGAAACATTAGTTTTTGAATCAAAAATTAAATATAATACCAAAATTTTATAAAATTTTGACTGATGTATTTGCAATTGGTAAACAAGTACTTATATTATATCATCTATCCTTGA